CTTTGCTACCCTAAAAGCAATGTAAATAAAAAAATTCTTTACGATTTTGAAGTTTCTAACTATAATAGTTTTCCATATATACATTTTTTACATATTGGGGATGCCACGCAAATTATTGCAAGTTCGCCAAATTTTCCAAAAGTTAATTTAGATTTTAATGTAACTTATGTAAAATCTGAATAATATAATAGTTTCCCAGATATATGTAGGTCCTATTGAAAGTCCGCCCATTTTTCTCTAAATATTCACATGAATGTCAAAGTTTTTCATGTAAAGTTTTTGTATTTAATTCATATGAGAGGTTCCGATTTGCTAGTCCGCCAATTTATTACCAAAATGTTCACATTGATGTCAAAGAAGTTTTGCTCTAATAGTTTCCCAGACATTTAATTCTATTTATTTAATATGGTAGGTTTTTAGCTCTAATAGTTTCTCAGATATACGGATTTATATATTTAATTCATATAGGGTGTTCCAAGCCCCCCTGATGAAAGTCCGCCCTTTTTTCCCTTTCATATGGGAGGTGCCACGACCCCTACTGCTAGTCTGCCCCCTTTTTCCTTAAATAATAAAATTGACACTATAGTGGTTCCGACAAAATTTGAAGACTCTATCTGTTATATTTTCTCAGATATGCTGATTTAATATTTTCTTCATATGGAAGGTGCCACGCCCACTATAGGCGTCCAAAAATATTCTTATGGATGTCAAAGTTGCACATACAAAATTTGAAGACTCCAACTCTTGCAGTTTCTGAGATATGCGACTTTTAATACTAATTTTTAAAGTGGGCGTGGCATGTCGCCCACTTGGAATTTTGAAGTAATCAGTAGCCTATAGTTCCTTCCAGATATAGGGGAACATACACTGAAAATTTCAAAAAGATCGCTTCTGTGGTTTAGCCTCCTATAAGGTACAAACAAACAAATAAATAAACATCATCGATATAAGGAAGTTTTCTCTGGAGTCTTCCTAAGGAAGACTTTTTCAGTAGAATATAGAATAGTCTTCCTAAGGAAGACTTTTTCTATAGGAAAAGACCTTTTCTATAGTAAAAGAGAGTTCCTTAGGAAGATTTTTTCTACAGTAAAAGAGTCTTCCTTAGGAAGACCTTTTCTATAGTAACAGATCTTCCTTAGGAAGACATTTTCTATAGTAAAAGATTTCCTTTGGAAGACCTTTTCTATAGTAAAAGATCTTCCTTAGGAAGGCCTTTTCTATAGTAAAGATCTTCCTTAGGAAGACCTTTTCTATAGTAAAAGATCTTCCTTAGGAAGACCTTTTCTATAGTAAAAGATCTTCCTTAGGAAGACCTTTTCTATAGTAAAAGATCTTCCTTAGGAAGACCTTTTCTATAGTAAAAGATCTTCCTTAGGAAGACCTTTTCTATAGTAAAAGATCTTCCTTATGAAGACCTTTTCTATAGTAAAAGATCTTCCTTAGGAAGACCTTTTCTATAGTAAAAGAGTCTTGCTTAGGAATACCTTTTCTATAGTAAAAGAGTCTCCCTTAGGAAGACCTTTTCTATAGTAAAAGAGTATTCCTTAGGAAAGCCTTTTCTATAGTTAATGACTCGTCATTAGGAAGACTTATTCCATAGTAAGTGAGTCTTCCTTAGGAAGACCTTTTCTATAGTAAAACAGTCTTCATTAGGTAGACCTTTTCTATAGTAAAACAGTCTTCCTTAGGAAGATCTTTTCTAAGAATCTTCCTTTGGAAGGCTTTTTCTATAGTAAAAGTGAGTACCTTAGGAAGACCTTCTCTAGAGTAAAAGAGTCTTCCTTGGGAAGACATTTTCTATAGTTAAAAAGTCTCCCTTAAGAGACCTCTTCTATAGTAAAATAGTCTTCCCTAAGAACCCAATTTCTATCGTAAAAAAGTCTTTCTAAGGAAACCTTTTTGAACAAAATGGTCTCCCTAGGAACATATTTTATGTACTATAAGAATCTTACCCAGAGACACATTTGCTTAACAAAGGAGTCCTTTTCTGTAGTAAAAGAGTCTTCCTTTGAAAAACCTTTTATTTAGGAAAACAGACTTTTTATAAGAAAATTATCTTCCATAGGAAAAATATTCTTAAAGTACAATTTCATTCTTTTAGGAGCCTGTTTTATAAAAAAAAATACACACACTATGTGTTTCGTGTATATATGATTATATAGAAAAATACATACATATTTGTACAACTGTTTGTACATTAAATGTAATTTGAAACTAACAATTTTTGTTATTAAAAGTAAATATTAAAATGTACATAGAACTTGGGTGATGATGACAATTACTACAACTAATTTGTGGTCATAATAAAAGTTAATAATGTTACGACTACTACTTATTTATACTCTTCTTTGTACATGATTGTATATTAATTTTCATAACATTATTTATTATTTATAACAGTGTTACGAAAAGATTTCAGAACAAAGATATACATTTTTATACTAATGCATCAAATGTAGGTATCTGTCCGCGGGAAGACTTTTAATCAAAAAGTAGTTCGGAAAATTTCCACAATTCAGATGATGAGTTCAATATTATTTAAATTTTAAGAAAGAGGTTATCTGATCAGTATAATCAGAAGTAGCGAGTTATTCTTTGAATTAGAGAGTCTGAGCAAGTGATCTCAAAATTACATATGGGCAATTCCATGAAAAGGTAAACCACGACTGAAAAAATAAAACCCTTATAACTGCTGCATTTTTGAAGATAATTCAACAAAATTTGGTATATGATCTTTTGTAGCACCAAAGATGAAGACTGTTGCAAATTTTTGAAATTGGTCTATTTTTACACCTCGCCGCCATACAAACGGACCCGAAAATATCACTTTTTAGCTCATAATTCTGTTAATTATGATGCTATCCCTTCAAAAATCGGCAGATCTAAAATGTTTATAAGCCTAAACCTTTATACCGATTTTCATAACGATTGGACCTCATTTGACCCTAGTTCCATTCAAAGTTTAATTTCAGAAAAACACTTAAACGTCCGTAACTCACCTCTAATCACTAGTATTATGATAAAATTTGGCACAAATAAGTTGTATATGAATAAAAATCACACCCTAGAATTTTATGAGGATCGGTCCATATTTGACCCTAGTCGCCATATAACTCCAGTTTTTTATTTTTATCTATAAATTGCTTAAACATGTATATAGGTCGGCCATGTCGAACTGCACTTTCCTACTCCTTTCGCTTTGTTGAAGTGTGTGTATGTATATATTTCCAAAATATATATTTTATAACCTAAAAAAATCAAGAGAAAAATCTGTCACATACGATGTGTCACGTACGATATTTAAAAATGTTAATTATAAAATTATATTAATTTTTTTGTATTTAAAAGTTATGGATTACTAATGAACAATATGTCCCATAGTGTAAGAAATTAAAACAAAAAAGATACACCTACAGAATTCGCAGATTTTCGTAAATATTTACATGTACTTTAAAAAAACTTCCGTTTTTTGTCACGTATGATATCGCCATATTTTAATCCATATTTTGGAAAACAAGGGATGATTCCTTTTGCAAATATAGTATTATTTAAATGGAACAGAATGACGAAATTGTTTTCCAAGTACTCCTAATTTTACAAAATCTATACCACTCTGAAGGCGTGCGAATGTCACATACAAGCGTATGGAATTGCCCATATATAAGAGTAATAAAAAAAACGTAATAATTTCTGAAAATTTAGTTTAATTTCAATAAATATTCCCAGTTTACAGTGTTTAAGAGTTATTGAATTTTGATTATAATTATTAGATACATACATAAATTGCAGAGAAAATGAAAAATCTTACGTTTCTAAAAGTCAACTAATTTGTTCACATTTTTCTAGCACTAACACCACTGTGCAGATTCTTACTTAATCCAATAAGAAATATAAATTTCCAACCAGATACGTTCTACTTAGAAAAACAAATAAACAAAAAAAAAACTTAAATAAATGAGAAAAATTTTAAGTCAAGGATATGCAACATTCATACACATACAAACATGTATAGAGATTACATTTACTCTCAAAAACAAAAAGCGTCTGTGCTCAACTAACAAGAAAATTAATATTTTATTGTTTTCACACACAAACCTGGAAAAAAACCTGAAAAAATATAAAAATATGTTAATAAAATCAAATAAAATAATTGCAAAACACAAACATGGCATGGCATACTAATAAAAAGGATACCCGCATATACACACACACACATTGAAACAAATGCCAAGCGCTGAAAAAGGAAAATAAAGTTGTCAAATGCTGTGTATTAAAAAAAATTCAAATGAAACTGAGAAAATGTGATAACGGAAATAATAGAACAATGAATGCATTACCAAACTCAGGGACTCCACAGCAGGAAGGGATAAAGGAGGGGATAAAGACAATTTGTTTTTTTTCTACGTTCATCATGCCACACAATTGTGTATAAGAATTATCACGTGCCACACACTTACAAGCTCACATACTCTAGCGTTAAACAGCCATAGTTGGAGATGGGCACAAACAACAAAAAAACCTGGGCAGGAGAAATAGACCAACCACCGCCAAGCAACCCTTATTACCAGGATATAAGTGTAAGTATGAGTGTGTGTGCACCAGTGGAAGAGAAGATTTCGCAACAACGACAAATGCGCAGCCTTCTAATGCAATACACGACGCATCAAATGGCAGCAAATAAAAATGAAAATTAAATGAACAAAAAATAAACACACAGACACAGAAAAGGAAGCAAGAAAAACTCAGCCAGGATAATCAATGCACAAGTTCAGTTCGATTTTTGAACGTGACGCGTGTACATGTAACGCAAGGACGTAACAAAAGTTAACGTAATATTTAAACAACAAAAATAAACGGAAACGGATATACAATTAAAGCAAATAATTAAGACACATTGTAACTTACAAAAAAAAAAAAAACAAAATTAAATTGTGCTTTTCTTTCGTTTTGTGCTTAATTTAAAGAAAATAATATTTGTTCATAAAATTCATGTTTACATTATGTTATTAAGTCGTAATTCATCGGTAACTTCCCATGAAGATACTGCAAGTGCTTTTGCCGCTACAACTAATAACGCACTCAACAACGATACCGCACACGATCATATCATGTCTTATGATCATACCCACCATCATCATCACCTTCACCAACTCACCTTAACGGGTCGTCTCGGTGAACGTGTGGAATTGTGTTGTCATCTTTGTGGCAATTATGTGCAAATAGTGAATACGAAAAATTTTACCAAAGAAGAAATCTTACGTAGAGAAAACAATTTTAAATGTGATAAATGTAAGAAAACGAAAAAGAATCGTTCGAAAAAATTAAACAATGATCGGGTTAATGTTAATAGTGATGGTGAGCAAAGTGATAATAATGTCGATGATGAAATTATAGATGATGATGAGGATGATGATGGTGTTGATCGTCCTATTGATAATGTTGAACGTGGACATGACGATCTTGATGATGATGAGGAAGATGCCGATATTGGCATTGATGATGATATGGACGATGATATTGATAATGATGATGTGGATTTAGTGCGTGATGATGATGACGATGATATGGATAATGATAGTGCTTCTTCACGTTTGCCAAAAGTTGATGGTGTTACGTCTGCCTCTACGACCACACTGCTAAAGGATAACAATACTAAACCCATTTTAAAATTTAGTGTTTCTGCGATATTGGGTGATACCCGGGAGGGTGTTAGAGTTCGTAATGGTAAGATATTTTTCGATATTTTTTTCTCCATTCACACCGGTATCCAATGAGTGTTGATTAAGACTTTTGGACCCTCTTATAGTATAAAGGAGTGCAAAAGTGAAATGAAATCAAATCTAATTTGCAAAACTTTATATACCCAAAAACAATGTAATATGTTCCTTTGGTCGATTTCGTGAGCTGGCACAGAATGCATAAAAAGTGTAATTTACCCTCTAATATTATATCCAAAAAATAAATAAAGATGCACCATCATCCTCCTATAAAGTATAAAAACTTGAACCGATCTTTCAACATACGATTTTCGAAATTGTGATCATTAGATACTTCGGACTAAAGCTATTGTTGAGTTTTTACTCTCAATAGCTTTAGTCCGATAACTGGAGTTATAGGGGACTTAGAATCCCATAATTTAGTTAATTGAAAGACTGCTCTCCTATAAACTACAAGAACTTGAACCGATCTTTCAACATACGATATTCAAAATTGTTGGTTTGTTTTACTCTTTTTTTATAATTGGAGTTATAGGGGACTCAGAATCCTACAATTTAGTTAATTGAAAGACTTATCTAAATAATAAGTTTCGGTATGTAAGACCTTCATAGTACTTAAAGACGGAATTCGAGTTTTTACCTCACAGTGGTTTAGAAACCTCTATTTTTGGAAATAAATAGTTATCTCTGAAACTATTAAAGATATCGTATGATCTGATTGGGCTGACAAGTAAAATATAACTTCTAATTGAGAAAAACTACAAGAAATGTGCTTCCATGTGTGGTTTATCTCTTTTGCTTCAAGAGATTTTTAGGGTCTTCGAAGGGACGTCAAATTTTTTAAAAATATCTTCTAGTTTTCTGATGAAATTCGAAATAAAACAAAAACAACTTCTCTCAAATTATATTGACTCTATAAAAAGTTAGACGCATCCAAATTTGAAACATATAAAAAGCTATTTCCCAAAAAAGTCTCTATATATTTTTTCTTTTATAGAAAAAATTTTTTTCGGGACTATAAACAAATTTTGTATGATCCGTAAAGGGAACATAACGTTTAAGCGTGTAAAATAAAATTTGGCCTATTTAAGCGGGAACTGGTACCACCAGCCTCAGGGCAAATGGGACAATCTTGAAAATAAAATGTTTTTTTTTTTTAAGTAAAAAATCTAAAAACGCAAAGTATCAATTCCCATAATGGCTTCATATTTATATGGACTTTAATGTTTCTAAAATATATCCAAAGTCTTTTTACTTTCACACAGTAATTAACGTTACAGTGGGCACTTTTATCAAAAAGCTCAGTTTTTGGAACTTAATTTCTCCGGTTTTAGGAATCTTGGTATTTGCTTATAGAAAATGAGAATAACTGAAACGCCGTAATTTAACCCTAGCCTGATTTTTTTGTTTGAGCGGCAAAAATTTATTTAATAAAACTTACATTTCTAAGCAACTTTTGTTCTAAAACTTTGTTCATATGTAGTATTTACCTGTGTTATGTGAAAAATACCTGGTTGGTTCCTAGAGGAACCACCAGGCACCCGGACTTCCAAATTATAAATATTGTAAAACGTACTTTAAAGGCAATAATAAGCAATTTCATTGTTAATGAAGACAATTATATTGGGATATAAATATAATATATAAAACAGCTCTTTTCTGATGAAAAATATGATTTTATGCGACATTTTCGACATCGAACTTTCGTTAGGGATGAATAATTTGGATTTTTTGATCGCGTTATGCCTTATATTATAAATTTTGGTAAGAGTATTATGTGATCTAGGTGAATATAGCTAGTTGGCAATAAACAGAGATTCTACGCCGACGTTTCGAAGCAATTTCAACCCCAAAATTTTTTGGTCGATCTTTTGCCACTCGAATTTTAACACAAGATTTCATCAAGTAATAACAGACTAGTGGCACAAATGCTATGCTTCATTTTAAAATAAATCAATCAAAAAACATCCCAAAAATTTCTATTTATATAATCTGATATATGAAAAAATTTGAAGTCTGGGTGCCTGGTGGTCTTTTAAAGAACCAACCAGAAATTTCTAAAAATCTCTCTAACTAAAGAAGCAAAATCACTTCAAATACCTATTATTACAATAATATTAGGCAACGATCCGTAAAATATTTTTTCTGTTTAAAATTTTGTTGATTTATAACTAAAACTTTTTGTCAAAAGTACACGATATCACAAAAGAATTTTTTTGAGGTAATTGCATTCTTTTGAACCTGGACAAGCCAAATGAAACTTTATTCCAATACCGATCAAAGAAATTAGTGCCGCTTGCAATTAAAAAAATTTTAAGAGTCTTAACATGAAGTTGACAAATATTTAAATAACAAAAAACTTAATTTTTATTGGTTGGTTCCTGGCGGTACCACCAGGCTATTAAGTGTTAAGAAAGACTTGGAACTATATACGTCCAAAATTTTGTTCCGATATCTGTAACCTTTCAACTTTTACATTAATTCAAATTTTATATTTGTAATCATATAGTAGGGATATAGGCGAAACTGAAGGGGTTGTCAAACAAAATTTGTTATTCTCTTCACACAGACGAGTTCTGTGAGAATAAAACACACTTGAGAGAACTAAACTCACTCACAAAACTTCAAATTTTCTTCGCAAAATTGCGAGGATATTTGCACTTAATAGTTTTTCTTATCACTTAAACATAATATTTATTATTTTTTGCGACACTTTTATTGTATTTAAAACCCCGAAAATAATTTATATTTTACAAACGAAAAAAAAATATTTTTTATTCTTTGACATTTCATTTTAATTAAAACTGAAAAAAAAGTTGTAAATTTTCGTATTGAAAATGAAAAAAGTTTTTCACCTACTTTTTTTCTTTTTCCATTAGTGCAGAAAAAAATAACAAAAAGACGTGTTTATAATATGTTTTAAGATGAAATATCTTCTGAAAAAAATTAATTAACTATTATTTTCATTCACTAGTATATAAAATCCCAGTAATAACATAAAAAATAACGTATCAGAAATACATTTATTATTTAGTACCTTTTGAACAACTGTGTTTATTTTTGTGCTTCTACTAATACATTCTCACCAGTTAGGTTTTTGACAGGGGACTTAGGTCTTTGACAATCCCTTTCGCCTATATGCTACTATATGTTTGTAATTTTAAAAATTCTCTATATTATAATTTTTGAATTTGTTCGTAAATGATGATTCTAATAATAGATCCCTTATATTATATATCTATTAAAATTTAATCCCTATGTCATTAGGTTTTCAATGATATCAAATATTTGTATAAAAACTTTAAACTTATAGTATACGCACAATTGGGATGAACGACGAATTTTTCGGAACGAATATTCGTCGTCAGAAATAGAACACACTTGGGTATATGAAAATGTACACAATCATTGCGTATGACGAAATTCGTCGTACGTAACGAACTATGCGATAGGTTTATTTCTTACGCAGACGAATTAATTGGGGAAAATTTGGCGGTTGTGAGTACAGCTAATGACAATACAATATTATGTTGGAATATTAGAAATTATATTCGAATAATTAAAATAATTTCTGGGTCATAAAAACTAAAAATAAAATTTTCGAAAATTCGAACTTAAGTTCGAAAAATTTTTAAAGCCATTAAAACCAGTTCTCGTGGCCCGAATTGTCTGAAATTTGGCAGTCTGGAGTACACTTGATGACACTGCAATGCTATGTTGGAATATTTAAAATTAAGTTCGAAAATTAGAAGTAATGTTCGAAAAAATTTTGAAGCTAATATTTCTTTTCGGGGCCAATTTCTTACATTTTCTAAATAATGTTCGAAGAAATTTTAAAGCTGTTAAAATTATCTCAAAATCGTGGAGATTCACAAAAATATAATTTTTGTTCCTTTTTCTTACTTTTTCCAATTTCGAACAAACAAATTTTGAAATGAATTCACAGTATGAATAATTTGATTGTGTTCCATTCGACGAATTAACGCAACGAATTTTTGTCGACTAGTTCGTCGTGCTATACGAAATTCGTCGTTCGTCCCAATTGTGCATATAGCATTAATCAACAGAATGTTGCCAAGCTTATACTCCTTTTGTTATTTTTAATGCTATTTTGCAGATTTGCAAGCAAATTTCGCTTATTAGCTCTGCCCCTGAAAAGGAAAATTGCCTTTGATGAGACTAATTTTATTCCATCTCTCTGTTGTTTGTAACACCCACCTTAATGTATACCAATCAGTTCAGAATCACTTCCTTATGCGCAATCTACAGGTCGCAATTTTCTTCTTTTGACCCAAGGATGAAACTATTGAAAATAGTTAAAATCGGTTCATTATTTCGCCTACCCCCATACAACCATTATTAGAATGTGTTCCTGTTCTTTAACTCCTTAGAAATACTTAAGTATCACAACAATGTTCCATAGAATTGGTTCCAGATCTAATGGCGTCATCACAAGTTTCAAGTTTGCTATTCAAGAATTTGAACTGATTCTGTTTGCACTCGATCTAGAACTAATCAATTTTTAACTAATTCTAAAATCCTTCCACTGAACTTACTTTTCAAATTTCAATCTTACCTTAAAAAGCTTTCTTTGGAAAAGTATTCGGTTAAAGTTTTCCTATAATCCAATATAGTCTTATCACAAGATATCGCCCTAATTACCTTCTGGTTATCGGTAAATATGTGAACCCCTGTTGGCAGCACATTTATTCTAATCCAATTTAGGCATTCCGTTATTGCTCAGACTTCTGCCTAGAAGTTAGTGTTGAGTTTAGGTAGTCGTTAGTATATTTCTGTTTCTTCATTATAGTACATCAGGACCGTTTGTCTCCCAGTTTGAAGCATTTCATGTTGCAACGGATTCCTAAGGGCATTCGCTTGATCTGGGATAAATATTTCAAAGTTTCCGACATATTTGAGGTCCGATCTGGCACGACCGATATTTCCGTCTGTAATGGCCGCCTTTTATCATCTACATAGAAAAATCATATTGTAATTGTCTATAAA